GATTGTGGTAGGTGGAATCACGGACCTCCAAAGATATTTACATCCTAATCCTGGGAAACTGTGAGCTCGTTATGTTACATGGCAAGGGGGGATTGAGGTTGGAATCGAGATTGCTCATCAGCTGACCTGGTGCTGGAGAGATTATCTGGACGGGCCCAATATAATCACGAGAGGGGCCTTCTAAGCGAAAGAGGGGTGTGGCAGGGTTAGCGTCAGAGAGAGACTGAAGGTGCTGGGCTGCGGCTTTGAGGATGGAAGACGAGGCCACGAGCTGTAGAAGCTGGAAAATCAAGGGACAGACCCTCCCCTGCAGTCTCCAGAGGAAGACATCCCTGCTGACGCCTTGGTTTTTGGTTCAGTGACACCAAGGTCGGACTGCTGCCCTCCAGCACTGTTAAATACATTTTCGTGTCTCCAGCCACTATATTTGTAGCAAGTTGTTACAGCAGCAGTAGGAAACGAATACACAGACACTTTAGTGCATCTGACTCTGGGTTCTGGACACAGCCCACCTTCTTTTCTTCAAGTCCCTTCCCCGCTTCTCCACCCTCATGATCGGCACTCACTCTCCACCTCCAGAAATTCTGTCAAATGTCTGCCCACTCCCTACTTCCATCGGTGACCATCATCTCATTAAAGTGACCGTGGGGCAGGGCCAGCCTCAGGGACGTGCCACCAGGGCAGCAGCACAGTTCTTGGAGTGTGAAGCTCTGAGTTCCCTGTCTTGAAATTTTCAATACTTTACATTTGGATTTGTGTTTTGTTAGGGAAACTTAATGGGACAGTGGAGCAGCCACCCAGGGCTTGCAGCCTCGGCTCACACGTGGTCCCGCCTCTTGCTAGCTGCCTGCTTCCCTGGGATGGGTTCTTGGCCACCTGCTCATCAGCCCCTGGTACCCTGGACCCCAATCCACCTCCCCCTTCCCACCCCCACCCAGTAAGCGTGCTGCCTTCAGCCCCTGGAGGGGCTGGGCTCAGGCACAAGGGCGGGTGGAGGTCAGCTGCTCACCTTCCGGCATCTTGGGCTGGAGCATGGTAGTGGTCATCCCTTCCTCAGGCCACACCTCAGCCAAGTCAGCAAGGCAAGCCAGTTGCCCACGCCTGAGCTGGGTACCAAGAGGCACCATCTTGAATTCTTAGAACTTTCGCAACAAGAAGTTCTGCCATTTTATTATGCCCTGAGCCCCTCAAATTATGTAGGCATTCCTGACGTTGGCTCCCTGTGGACCCCCCAAAACACCGTCGCCACCTCCCCAACCCCCGTGCTCCAGCTTCTTCCTTCTGTGGGCTTCTTCCCATCACTGTGGTAATCTGTTCGAGTCCCTTCCACCTGCAAACAGCCGAAGGTTCCCTCCACCCTTCCTCCTCCTTCTCCGCCTCTCCCCTTCCCTCCTCCCCAGACAGTTCTCGAAAGCTGCCTCCTCTCTGTCTCCACTTCCTCCCTGCACACCCACTCCTCAACCCTCTCTGTGCAGAACCTGCCTGCACTTCTGCCATGAAACTGCTTTCACTGACACCAGCCGCCAAGTCCAGGCCCAATTCAGTGCATCTTTCTGCAGCACGAGCCCCGCCGCCCTCGTTCTTGGACCTCCGCCCCGCGTGCGTGGCTCTTCTGCTCCTGGCTGCTCGCTCCTGCCAGGGCCCTGGCCTTGGGGCTTCTCCTCTGTCCTCTCTAAAACATTGGGGGTCCTTGGGGCTGTCTTGGGCCATAGTCTCTCACTCTCTCGCTCTCTCTCCCCCCCCCTCCGTGGGCAATCTCACTGTTTCCTTTACTACAACCTTTATTAAACTACAACCTTTACTAAATCTAGACTGGAGGTCTATGAGGCAGGGACTGTCGCCCAGCACCCAACACAGTGCCTGGCACGTAGAATGTGCTCACTAAACATTTGCTGAATGATTGATAGCTCCTCAATCGATCTCCCAGCCAGCTCTCTTGCCTGAACTTCAGATCCACGTACCCATCTCAAAGTTCACATCTCCCACGTCCCAGCTAGTGCACATCACTGTCTGATGTGACCTATATGACAAGAGATTGCATATATTCTTATTAAGTCCTTTCTTTCTTTTCTTTCTTTTTTTTAAGATTTTTATTGGGGTATTGGGGGGATGGGAACAGTGCTGGGGAATTAGGGGAAGGGGAACAGACAAGTTGCTGTCGTTTTGTTCTTCAGTCTAGTTGTGGAGGATGTTACTTCACTGGCCCAAGTTGGCACCATGATTGCGCTCTTCCCGGGCGAGGCAGATCAGTCGCCGGCTTCTGGACGGCCACTCACAGTGGCTGCTGGCCGCTCACACTGGCTGCTGGCTACACACGGTAGCCCATGGCAACCCACTGCCACAGAGGTTGCAGCCTACGCCGTCGCCAGTGACTCACAGCAGCCCGGCTCCAGGTTGAGCTGTTGTTCAGTATCTTAGCTGTGGAGGGCAGTGTCACTGGCCCTCATATGTGGGATCCGAACCGGGGCCCTCTGGTGTCCCAATCCAGTTCTTAACCATCGCGCCACTTGGCCGGCCCTAAGTCCTTTATTTCTTACCGGGTCTCTCACACCTCCCCCACCAGAAGGTAGACCCCATGGGGACAGAGATTTTTGTTTGGTTGGTTCATGGCTGTATCCTGGGGACTTAGAACTGGGCATGGTACACAATAAGTGCTCAAGAAATACTTTCTGAACAAATAAATGGATCTCCACAGGGGTGTTCCCCCCCCTCCCCCGGACCCTGTATATCCGAAGCTGAGCCTTCCATGTTCTCCCCACTCCTTCTCCTCCTGGGTCCTGGTCTTAATTGCTAAGGCTAGAGAGTGCGCATCACCCTGGGATGCCCACCTTCTCCTCCCTCCCTAAGGAGATTCAGTTGAGGACATTTAGACCCTAGGACTCCTTATCTACAGCAACTGTTTAGACAAGTCAGCCACCTCATTTTTAACACCTGGAAGTATGCAAACAGCATCTTTCTTTTCAAGCACCTTCACCATCATGACCAGAGCCTCCTGGCTCCCATGCCCCTGGGGCCTCTAAGAGACTTCAGGTGGCATGTGCGTGTATTGGATAGAAGCACGTGTGACATGGGCATGGATATAAAAGGGCACCCAACTAAGAAGGCGGTTCCTTTTTCAATTCTCTTTCTCTCCTTCTGACTAGCCTTCCATAAGCCATACATACCCCATGGAGCTCAAATTGAATAACTCGGTTTGGTTTCATTGTTTTTGTTTTCTAGTTCCCTTCTATTTATAAGAAAGGATACTGGTTGCCCATCCGTGATGATGACAGTGCCTCTTTTTAAAATAAAGTTATTCCAATACAACAAATAAGTCAATATGAAGAAAAAGTTTCAGTCAATAATGATGGAGGAAAAAAATGTAAATATGGAAAAATCACTTGTGAGTGCGCGAGGGATGCAAGTTTGGAAGATACTGATCTACAGATCCTAGTCCAAACCCTTTTGCAACCTGGCTCCTGGCTCCCTCCCTTCTCATCTCTTCAGGACATGCTACTCCTTGGACACCGTGTTTGTTACCCCTCGACACTGTCACCCCTAGATACCATGACTTGTCACCTCTACAACCCATGACTTGCTGTGATATTGTGATTTATAATAAATATATATTTGGTCTTTGCCCTGTTCCTAGCACAGAGCTCCTAAAACTCTTGGAATTTCCTAAGTGATGAGAACCTTCTGTGTCTTTTGTTATGTTAATAAGGTGACCTTTGGGAAGCCCCTAGGTGACCTAAAAATGAGGGCTGATAGCCAGGGGAATCAACCATGTGATTAGAGGGAAACTGTCAGTCTTACCCCTTAGCCTCTGGGGAGGGGAGAGAGGCCAAAGATAGAGTTCAATCACCATAGGCCAATGATTTAATCAATCATGCATATGTAATGAAGCTTCCATCAAAACCTAAACGATGTGGTTTGGGGGGACTTCCGGGTTGGTGACCGTGTGGAAGTGCTGGGAGATGGGTAAACTCTGGGGGGGCACGGAGGCTCTGAGCCCCTTCTCACATAACTTGCCATCAGGCTGTTCCTGAGCTGTATCCCTTCATAATAAACCAGTGATCTAATAAGTAAAAGTTTCTCTGAGTTTGTGAGCCACTCTGGCAAATTAACTTACCTCAGGAGGGGGGTGTTGGAACTTTCTACCTATTGCTGGTTGGTCAGAAGCACAGGTGACAGACAACCTGAATTTAACAACTGGTGTCTGAGGTGTAGGGCTGAGCCCTCCACCTGCGGGATCTGATCCCAACTCCAGGTAGATAGTGTCAGCACTGAATTAATTGCTTGATGGTGTGGAAACACATGCGCGTGCGTGCGCACACGCACACACACACACACACACACACACATTGGAATTGATGTCAGAATCGTTTCTGGGTACCCAGAGACACCTTGACCTGTCCATTCTCGGGATATCATGACCTGCCGCCCCTAGATACCATGACCTGTCACCTCTAGACACCATGACCTGTGACCCTAGACACCATGACCTGGCCAATGTACCCAGACTATACTACACATTTGCAAACCCCCAAGCCTTTACTCATGCTCTTCCCTCTACCAAGCATGCCCTCCCCCACTTCTCCATCAGGCCCCTCCATCCTCAGGCAGAGGGACTCCAGTTACGTCTACCCAGCATCCACTCACTCTTTTTCTGATAATAGCACCTGGTCTTCTTGGAGACAATCTCTCCCTACTCTTAGTTCAAGTTGTTTCCATGACCTAAATTCACTCCCAGCTTTCCAATAGGGCACGTGACTCTGGCTTGGCCAGTCAGAACATTTCTTCCCCCATTTATCTTGTGATTGGTTTAGGGACAGGCATGTGATTAAAACTGACCAATTAGAGCCTTTCCTGGTATGATCATTGGGACCACTGGAAAAAAGGTCTGTTCTTTTCTTTGTGCTTCCTAATCTGGTGGGTTGTAAGCCTGGACTTTTGAGAGAATTTTTTTTCTTTATTTATTCTTTTTATTTTTATTTCTTTTCTTTTTTTTCTTTTTTGTCACCATTGAGTATCACTCAGCCATTTGAGAAACGAGGTCAACACACAAGAAAGCAGATCCCAGAGGTGGATACTTCCAATCTGAAAAAAAAAAAATTATCTGAGCACCCTGATTCATCCGTGCCGGAAACTATTTCTTGAATTTAAAAATGTTATTTTGTGAGCCAGTAAACCCATTTTAAAAAGCTAGTTCTCTCACTTGCAACCACAAGGCTCCTGGTTGAAACAACTTATTTTTTGTTTTTTTATTGAGCTAGAATTCACATAACACAAAATTTTCCATTTCAATCATTTAAGAATATACAATGTAGTGGGCTTTCGTATATTCCAAATGTTGCACACCCATCACCACTCTCTAATTCCATTACCACCCATCACCACCCTTCACAAAGAAACCCTTAACCCAACAGCACCCCCAGTTTCCCCTCCCCCCATTCCCTGGTAACCACTAATGAGACATCGTCTTTTAAGACCCAGTTACAGTGGTCATTTCTCCGAAACGTTACCAAACCACAGGGCAGAATTGTTCTCTTTTTTGTGCACATCCCTTTATTATCACTTGTTGTAATATGCAATTTTATTTTTTGTTTTTAGTAATGGACTAATTTGAACACACATCAAATCACTACCCGTGTGACTCTTACTAGACTCCTTGAGGGTAGGAACTATCATTATTTCTTCTTGTGTCTCCAGCCCTAGCCCAGGACCTGGCCCAAATGAAGTGGTCAGTGAAAAAAATAAAACAAAACAAAAGGTGACCAAGGGCTCCCTCTACCCCCTCACAGCCTGAGCATCTGAGTCCTGGCCAAGACATGAAGATGTCGCCACATGTTTGTTGATTGGCTGGTTGACATCTTGGTGAACACTTATTTCCACACTGGATTTTTTGTGTGGGTCTTGCCTTATTTGTGTGTGAAGGGGGTGAGGGGAGCATGCTTTAGCTGAACTGGCCACTTCCCACACTCTGACATTTAATTAAACCCCAAACTAAACCTACAGTTGGTTGCCGTGTCTGGTTACCCCCTAAAATTTCCCCAAGCCATGCCCACTTCAGATGCTTAGGGGCAGGGTAAGTAGGGAGGCGGAGCGAACCTGCGATCGTGGCCACGTTGACTTAACTTCTCCTGGTCTCGGTTGTCCCATCTGTACAATGGGGTCAAAAATGGTTAACTACCTCATAGGGTCATCTGAGGATTCAATGAGTGAGGACATGTGCTTACACAGTGCTGGCTCGTTTAAGAAGTCTGTCACACAGGATGCTTTTGTTGTGTTAACCAAAAAAGTACATCAGCTCGCTAAGCCGTGGCACATGCCGTTTCCTCTGCTTGGAAATAACTATTTTGTAGCCTTACTGCAGGCACTCCATTACGTTTCCACTTAGACGCCACCTCCTCCAGGAAGATCTCTGCCCCCACCCTCCCTCCCCCCAGGCCTCTGCACCTGTGCTCCCCATCAGCTCAGGTAGGGATGGCCTGAGACACCTCGGGACACCTAGCACAGGGTGGGTACTGAGTTCATGAAAGGACAAATCAGAACATACCTTGAAGGAGGAATAGTGGTTTTGTTCCCACCTTGGCCGCTCTAACTGGAGCTCTCACCCTGTCCTGGGCACCAAGGCTCTGGTTCCATTCGTGTGTCCCAGGGAAGAGGGGGTTGTGGCTCAGTGGGGAGCTGAGGCCGACACACAGCAGCTCCTGAGAACCCCCTGTGCACACCTCTTGTCAGTTCTCTGTTCTGTGACGTCAGGTGGGCAGCTTGAAATTGGCTATGGTGGGAGTATTTACACCACGGAAAGTGGCAGACACCACATCTCAGGTTTTTCTTTTTTGGGATTTGACTATCGGCTTACCAGCACACTGCCAGTTGTGATTTGGGGGCCGCAAGGATGCTTTCCCCCCTGCCAGGTTTGGTGCACACAGCTCCCTCAGCCTGGAACACTCTGCACACCCCCATCCCCACCTCTACCCCACCCCCACCCTCTCCTGCTCACCACAGCTCCCTTGTGGCCCCTGACTTTTTGCGGGACTAAGGACTATGTTAGTTCCTCCCTCCCTTTCCCTACACTGTGCCCAGCCCAGTATGAAAGCTGCAGCTGTCCGTAAATGCTTGTTGATTGACTGACGGACAGCTCTTGGTAAATACTTTTGTGAGTCTGATCTTTCCCGGGTGTGAATGTGGGGAAACCACAGCTGCCTGAACTTTCAGTAAAGAGGAGCCTCTTTGAGGAAGGGAGTCTTTGCAGAAACTCACCGCAGCTGCCTGGAAGCCGAGTCATTGCAGCCCTTCCTCCCTGAGTGTGCAGCCTCTTGGAAGACACAGGTGTCTCTGGGCCACGGCTCCCTAACGTGCAAGATGGGGAAAGAGAGGCGGAGCTGAGGCCTTCAGGGCAGAGGGTCCTAACGGGTGGGAGGCTCTGGAAGGCCCGTGGAAGTGCTGGGGGGCTTGCACACACGTGCACCCTCATAAGTCCATATGGGGTGTCCACATGTCTGCAAATGCATGTGGCATTTGTCTCTTGGATCATGGTCTGGTTCCAGGGGGATTGAGGGAAGCTTGGGAATCCCCGGACCCCAGGGCATGCTGAAAATAACACTGATCTTTGTTCCCTGCACCTCGGCCACCCCCTGCCAAGACTCAGGTTGTGCCCTGTGGCTCCTGCTGAGAGGGAGGTATATACTTACGAGTGTACATGTGTTAAATGGGGCGCTGTTGCTCACAGGGGCTCCTAACCTATGGGTGGGTTCGGCGCTGCATCTGACACATAGTAAGCACTCAGTAACCACCCCCTGTCTGACCTGACATTGAACTTGCATGTCTATGCATGCATGTGTCCTGCTAGATTACACACACTGGAACTGTTTCTTCACTGTTCTATGCCTGGCACATTGTAGGTGCTCAATAAATGTTTGTTCATAAGCAAGTGTGTTTACGTGACAATGTGTGTGTCCTTGCACAAGTGTGCACCTGGGTTGCTGGGAGGTGTTGCTTGCTTTCTATGCAGGCAGGGCTGTACATGCTGGGGGTGGATGTATTGAAGAGTGTCTGTGAGTGAGCGGGCTGAGTCCTTGCTGGCCTACAGGATGGTGCATGGTGAGTCTCGTGCTATGAGGGAATCTGTGTCTGTGGGCTTGGGCTGTCTATGCACGTGGGTGCGTGAGCAAGGGTGTGCTGTCATGTGCACGTGCGTATGCGAGTTTTGCTCATATGTACACACGGGGGCTTGCATGGGTATTTGTGCAAAAGATTCTGGCGTCGTGGTTAACAGCTCAGGCCCTAGAGCCAAACTGTCCTGGTTAGAATTCCCGTTTCATTTCTTATTTGCACAGCCATGGGCAAGTTACCTAAAGCATTTGTTCTTCAGTTTCTTTATCTGTGAGGTGGGGATAACAGTGCATCTGCCTCCTAGAGCTGTTTTGGGGACTTAAATAAAATACTAGCGTCCGATACACTGTGTGTGCTCTGCCAGGCCATCTGTAGCTGTTTCCATCTGTATGTGGCACATGCCTGTCTAAGCACATCTGTGCCCCCCAATGTGTCCCTCACTCTAACTCTAGAGAGATAAGGACCCTATCTGTTGGGCTCCAAGATTTCCGTGTGGGTTATAGGGACGTGATGAAGTGCTTGGTCTACGATGATTGGAAGTTGGGTAAGGGTGGGGAAAAGGCCTGTGGGAAACTGTCTGGACTCTGTGAACTGGGACGTGCCTGCCTCTGTGTGCAGCCATCCTCCCCTCCACTCACCAAGGAAAACTTGGTCCGTCCTAGGTTGCCTGACTCCATCCTCCAGCCTAGAGAGGTCAGTCTTTGCCAGACCAGCTCCCTGGGCTCTGAGGAGGCAGAAATGAGACGATGGGTGTGGAGGTCACTCCGAGGAATAAATGATGCCAGGATGTGCCCACGGTGAGTCCTTTGGGGGTGGTTCTGGGTGTGCCCATTAGGCCAGGTTCTCCCACAAATGCCCATAAAACGAACAGAGCCAGGTGCCTTTGAGGGTTCTAAAAAGAGCTGTCAAGCTCAGGAAGGAAATGCTTCCCTCAGATGGCATCAGAGGAGACTGGCACCTACCAGAGTGATTCAGGACGGGGAGGCCTGCCCAGGCCCTGAGAGGACCTGGAGACAGGAAGTGACCACTGAGGCTAATTCAGAGTGTTTGTTCATCCAGTGATTCACTCAAATCACATTTCTAGGCCCTGGGGCATCCAACGCAGGCCGCTGCCTGGATGGAACTTGAGGTCAAGCATATGAGCACTGATCATGCAGTGTGGTCGTGACGTGATGAGGGAAGTGTGGACCCACAGGAGGGACAACTCACCCAGATTTGGGGCATCTAGGAAAGCTCCCTGCAGGAGGTGACATTGCTGTTGAAACCAGAAGGACCAGAACTAGTCCAGGAGGTGGCCGGGGAAAGAGTACACCAGGCAGAGGGCTCATCACGTGCAAAGGCCCAGAGGAAACAGCCCAACCTGGCTGGAGCACATGATGTGAGAGGGGTGAGGTGGGGGGGATGCTGGAGGGAGAAGCAGAGCCGTGTGAGCCACACGTGGCCTTTGAGACGGAAAGGGCCTTGGAACTTGTAGGCCAGCCAGACTCGAGGCTGGCAGGGGTGGAGGTGGAAGGGTGCTGACTGTGGAGAGGAGGCCCCTGAAATATTCAATCATTCAACAAATGTTTAGTGAGTACCTACTACGTGCCAGGCACTGCCTTAGGGACTGGGGTTCTGCCGAGAATAGAACAGAAAAATCCCTTCCCTAATGAAACTGCAGTATGGGGGACAGTCAAGTGATGGTCACGCAGCACGCTGTGTGATGTTGGATGACATTGAGCACGGCCCAGAACAGGCCAGCGGGGTCAGGGGACGGAGCGGGGAGAGCTGCTGTAGAAGGAGGCCAGGGAAGGCCCACTGAGGAGGGGACAGTGTGAACACAGGCTTGACTGAAGTAAGGCTATGAGCCATGCAGTTATGCGGGGTGGGGTGGGGGGGCGGATAAGGGGTAAGGGAAAGGGGTATGTCCCAGGCAGAGGGAACAGCCTTCCAGGTGGAGGGAACAGCCAGTGCAAAGCCCTAAGCAGAGGCCAGTGTGCCTGGAGCAGCAAGACCCAGAGGGCGAGAAGGAGATGGCTTCTGAGGTGAGCAGCATGGAGGGCCTGCTGGCCACGGTAAGGTCTGGGTTTATCGTACAAATGACGGGGAGGCTTTGGAGTGCTCAGGACATGGAAGTGACAGGACCTGAGGTGTTTTCTTTTTTTAAACTTGATTGGGGAACAGTGTGTTTTTCCAGGACCCATCAGCTTCAAGTCTAGTCGTTGTCTTCAATCTAGTTGTGGAGGGCGCAGCTCACTGGCCCATGTGGGAATCGAACTGGCAACCTTGGTGTTATGAGCACTGCGCTCTAACCACCTGAGCTACCTGGTCACCCTGAGTTTTGTTTTAAAATGATCCCTCTGCAGCGAGAAGAGCAGGATGTTTTCGGGGCCCGAAGGTAGAAGTGGGGAAACCGGTTAGCAGGTGCTGTCACTGTGCAGGGGAAGGAGGCTGGGGGCTTGGGGCAGGTGTGGGGTGGTCATGGCCACGGATTCTGGGTGGGTTTTGAAGGTAGAGACAGCAGGACTTCCCAATGGGTGAGTTTAGGGTGGTGAGGGAAAGCGACATGGCAAGGATGACCCTGACTGCGGCCATACTGGGGACCCAGCCGCACCCACCGTTCCCCCTTTGGCCTGGTCCCGGGAGCAGATGGAATAATTATCACTGGGGAGCATAACCGGAACCTCTGCTGTTTGTTGAGCCCTGATTCTGCCAGGTGCGACGATCTCGTTTGCTCCTCATTGTTATCACCTGTGTGTGGGTCTCCCAGCCCCATGGCAGGTGGGGGCCGTAGAGGCTTGAGAGGGGCAGGGCCTCGCCCGGGTTCAGGCCGCCCTCAGGGCTGGGGGCCCACTCAGAGGCCATTGGGAGAACCGAGGATGCACTAGACCCACGGTCCTCCCGATGGGTAGCCTCCTCCAGGGGATACCTGGCAATGTCTGGAGACACTGTTGGCCGTCACATCTGGGTAGAGGTGCCGCTGGCATCTCGTGGGTGAAGGCCTAGGATGCTGCACCATAGTCTAACATGCGCAGGACAGCCCCACAGCAAAGAATGATGCAGCCCAAATGTCCACAGCGCTGAGGTTGAGAAACCTACCTCCCCCAACCTCCGAGGGCCTCCTCAGAGACCACCCACAGGGTGTGGGAGCCCCTCCCTGAAAGAGAAGTGAGGCTGTGCCAAGGTGGCAGTGGGCAGCAGGCAGCTGTGGTGGCAGTGTTCCCCGTGACAGAGGCTGGTTCCTGGAAAACTGAACTTGACCTCCTTGTGGCTTTTATTCTCCTTTCTCAACAGCCCAGGCATCTGGGCCACAGCTCCTTGGTTCTTCAAAGAGAGTCTCCAAGAGCCCAGCATGGCCCCAGCCCACTACCCTGCGTAGGACCTTCACCGGCTTGCAGCAGGCATGGGTGGGGTCCTGGTCCCATCCCTCCGCAGGGAGGCTTCTCGGGGGCCTGGCACAACCTTCCCCTGCAGCCTATGGCCTCACCACTTCCCTCTTGCCCTGAGGCCTCCTGCAGCCAGTCCACCCACGTCAGGCACTCATTTCCCGAACAGGAGCTACAGTCACGCCTCGTGTCCCTGGCTTACCAACGGCCCAGCTGGGGCCGTGCTGACTCCCTGCAGCGTGTGCTTCCTTCCTCTTTCAGTCGGTTTGTATCTTATGTCCCTTCTTTTACTTTCTTCTGTGTTTTCTTGTTGCTCTTTTTTCTAACTTCTTGAGAGGGACGCGAGGAACATTCATTTTCTTCTTTTCTAATGTATGATTTTTTTTAAGGCTACAATTTTCCCTCTAGATATTGTTTTAGCTGCAACCCACAAGTTTTGATATATACTTTTTTATATCATTCAAAATGTTTCCTAATTTTTCCAGTGTGATTTTTCTCATTGGTCCTCTATTGAGAAGTGTATGTCTTAAAAAAAAAGTGTATTTCTTTTTTTTTTTGTGGCTATATATATATTCAATTATAGTTGACATGCAATATTATACAACATCAGCTTCAGGTGTACAGTGCAGTGATCAAGCCTCTACCTCAATCCATGAAGTGGTCTCCCTAACAAGACGTGTGACCATCTGACACCCTACAAAATATTTACATTATTAATTACATTCCCCGAACTGTCTTTCATGTCCCTGTGGCAATACTGTAGTTACCTATTTATGCTGTCTAATCCCTTCCCCTTCTCCCTCATCCCCACCCGCCTCCCAACCAGCAACCATCAGTTTTTCCTGTAT